TATTGTCAGCGCAATTTGCCAACGTAATTAAGAGTTCATATCGTTGTTCGCGAATTTATTAATTACGCAATGGCCTGTAATGCTTTAATTCGTATAATGGCTAGATTAAAACTTTTCTGCAATTTCGTTTATTGACCGGATTTAAATTCCGTTTTTAATGCTTTTAAAGTTTACCTAAATTGTTAAGTGCTTTAAATTATATGGGCTCAAATATTTAGCTGGACTTTTATCTGATTTTCAAACATATTTTATATTTTACAATTTGATTTTTTGTGGAATAAATGAACAAGAACCTGAGTGTTAATAACGTGCCCAGACGCATTACCAACTAAGATAATCTTTGTTGAATTTTTAGGAATGCTTTGCGCCATCTAGTGTGCATACTTAAAAGTATGAAACACAACTTGCAAAACATTTGAAATGCGAGTTGTCGCCTTTGCTCTTAAAATTTTTGGATTAATTTTTATTTTAGTGCCTGTTTCAACTCTTATATCTCTTCCACTTTAAAGTACTTTAGTGTTTTAGACTTGAATTGCTGTTTATTTCGTTTACTTAACATGTAATTTAATGTTTTTTCTTTTAATTTATTTAATAAATTTTTTGACTTTATTATTAACTGGTAGTTAAACGTGTTGCTTTTCCTGTTTTTTTAGTAGGTCATTCATTCTCTTAATATTGGTATTGATTTGTATAATTTGAAGTATTGTTTGTTGAAACATATTCTGCCCGCACATTTTAAGTTCTCTTTCTCTCCCTTTCTCTGTTATACTACGTCTACGATGAAATTCATAATACTCAACGATACTCATTCGCCAAGATGACAAGCGCTCGCGAAGACCGTTAATTTGCGATAGAGGTCGCGATGATAGCGGGGAATGGAGTTGGGCGGGCCGAATAGTACCAAAAGTACGGTAGGTGCCCGTCGGACGGCACTCGAGCGTAGACACATAGTTCGAGTGTAGAACAAGCTTAACCGATGGGCTGGCGATAACGTCAAATTTACGGGCAAACGCCGAGCGGGTGTCTCGGCGAGTGCTCTTGAACAGACAGTTACGTAAGAGACAAAAGACGGGAAAAAGTGTGGTGGGAGCTAAAATAATTCATATTTATATTGCCCCGTGAAGGAGGGATAAAAGAGCGAGGAAAGTGAAAATGTAAATGTCGTAAATTGTAATAACGATACACCAAATCTCCGCTACGGAGTTGTTCGTTTAATGCGTAAATGTATTCCTGCAATGTGACAGATCTAGTTTATAGTGCAACTTTCCGGCGATGGGGAGTGCTTTCTTTCGACTTTTCTGAATAATAAAGCAATATTCTCTCTGTTAGATATTATTGAGCGTTCTCGGATGTCTTAAACGTAATAAATATTGCTGGTAGCTTAATTTTGCGAAATTGAGTCATAATAATTACTCAATTTGTATTCACACAACCAATTATACATTAGTGTGAAAAGTGGTAGGGTACGTCTCCGTAAATCTGCCAGGCGGCTATACAATTACGAGAAAAGTGTCTCCCATTTCTGTTATAGAGACATGAGAACTAATCCATAAATTTATAATTTTCGACGAATGTAAAAAAAGGACTTTATTGCACTACACATACGTATTACATCCGCTTATATTCGTTTGGAAAATTTTCTTCCTTTTCTAGCAGACTGCATTTAAAAGTGAGTAATTAAGCCAAGGGCTCTAACACACAAAGTTATTTAAACTCGAGAAAGAGACTTTACTCAATTAGTCGTTTAGCGCAAAGCCACTTGAACATTAAACATTCTATGAAAGTCAAATACGTCATTACCATTAATCCTAACTTTAGGGCTATAATTTATATTGTTATAATCGAGTCAACTTGTATAATGACATTCTAAAAGTTCACATATAAATCATTTTAGTATAAATAATAAATAATTAAGTAATTTCCTTGAATTAAATTTAAAATTCTGAATATTGAAGAAAAATTCAAAAATAATAAGTTAATAGTTGGTACTATTAATTATTATAATTTAAGGAGGTAAATAACAACTAAGATAAAAGTGCGAATATAACATAATCGCTTCAACATTTAGTTGTAACAGAAAATCTTTTACAATTATTAAAATCGAATGGGGAGAAAGAACTGAATCCCCCAAGCGGGCGGTATAAAGGAAATCGATTAGCATTATAAATTCAATATCACATAATAGCGTTGTTTGCATTTTATCGATATTCGTCAACTCATGGTAGGCCCAAAGTTAAGCGGATGGATATTATCTATTCATCGGGGGACCCTCTCCGTCGCGACCTTAAATAGGGCCACTTGCGAAAGGAAAATATATTGAAACGATAATGTGAACATTGAACTGAAGCGTCTTTTGTCCGTAGGCACGTTGGTTATTTATATTTTGCATATTTTAAAACGTCACGGGAATGTTTATTTGACAATGGCGTTTCGCGAGAATCAACTTATTCATGGCACGTTCACATTCTTCCCGCGCTTTTGTTAACGGGAGGAATCGATTCGTTATCGCGACATGAGAACGCCTTAATGATGATTTTATTAGAGCGATTCGAAGCTTTCGATACGTTTAGTTTCCCTTCTTTAGTGAAGTTACAGTTTTAACGCCAATTTAATAGATAAAACGGAGTAAAATAATGAACTGACAGAGCCGCTTCCATAAAATACGATTTTATCATGCCGTGGGGAGGGACACGTTTTCGAATATCGTAATAAAAAAGTCACAGATGTCAAATTTATGACGCTGGACCATTGTAAAGAGATTAAAAGATTTACTACGGATGGGGCTCGGCGCTACGGCCGCTTCGTAGCTATGGTGCTACGTAAAAGTTCTACGAGGGATCAATTTTACAAGTTTAATAGCCATGTAATCCGACTACGTATGGGACACGCTTTCAGTTGGTGCAACGGAAATACTTACGTAAGCTGAATGGTTTGAATAGATGTAATTATGAACGTACCTGAAACAACACAATAAAAAAATCAGTCGTTATTTAAAAAAAACATGTTCTTACGTTACTATTCAGTCAATATACATTTCGAGCAATAATAATTTATTGACTGGTGTTTATTAACATTATTTTCGATGTAAAGTGATTCAGATATAACAAAAGTAATTTTCGCGATCGACTGACTGTCAGCCTTGTCTTCATGATGAGATATTTTTTAATCCCTCAATAAAATAATACATAATAATTAATTAATAATTAAATTAATCATATAATAAATTAAATAAAATACATATAGGTATGTAATAAATATATAAAGTGCAAATGCCGCAGGAAACGATTATAATCACGTCCAAAAATGTTCCCTCGTCAAATCAAGAAATCATCGCTAATTGTCCTCGAGTTAATCGCGGTAAGCTCTAATGTTGGGAGAAAAATAAATATTTTTTTTATTCGTCGAAACGAAAAGGAGCAGTTGACAAAGAGCCGGCCTTAATTAAAATCTGCTATACCCGGGGACTTTCGTGCCTCAGGTTCGATCATCAAGTTAGCGCCGCTTGGTTTACCCGCCCCGGGGTAAACCGCTACAAATACTACTTATTCCTATTCGCCGTGCTTCTCTCGATAGCTTTGTTGGTAAAGGTCGTATTCAACTACAAATGATTTCAAGTACGATAAAGAGGTGAATATACCTAACTTACTTTCCCTTGTTTAAAAATCCCGCGTTTTAAATATCTTCGCAGTTTAGGATGCAGTGTCGGATGCACAATTATCCCACTGCTGGGTTAAGGCCTAGGCTAAGAGTAATTGGTCGGAGTTCACTATGCTTTCCTACTGCTAATTGGTAAATAACGCATATCTTTTGCTTAGCTACCACGGCGACATGAATGTCTAATCCACGATAAGAGAATTATTTTCAGAGTTAATTTAAAACAATTTTATTTAAATTTTTCTTCTTCTTATATTATTGTTCAATGAAAACCAGCTTAACGCCCAGTTTCTGAAACACTGATTATGGTAGAACTTAACTAATCAGCTGTCAAATGGCTTTTCAAATGTTATATAAGTTGTCAAATCGATGGTTAAACTCTCTGACTTAATCAGAATGATCTTCTTAGAATGTTCAATTCAAAGAGTTTAACCATCCTTTTGGCAACTATCTCTCTCCCCTCTCCGACGTTTTAAATACATAAATTGCACTTGGACTTCCGCTCAGATTAGAAACAATTATTTGTGGGTCACGCAAATTGTTGTCCCGTATGGGAAACGAACCCACTATCTCAAGCGCCGAAGTCAATACATCTTGGTACTTGCCATTTTGAACCTCAAATATAATAATATAGGTACTAAGAATATGTTTTACATGTTACATGTTAAGTCCACTGCGGAACATAAATGTCTCCATTATATTTTTAAATATTAGAAAGAATATAAAACACGTATACATAAAGATACTTCACCGTAAGTAACAAACGTGTAAATTACTTATGTAGTACCACTATAACCTCGTTCGTTCAAAAAGAAGAGGTTTCGGAGCATTCGAGAATAGTAAAACATCAGCTTTGTTAGGTATGCATTAGCCAGTGCATTGGGAGTCGAGGGTGGGGATTAGTTAATGGCCTTAACTGGGAACGAACAACGAGAGAAAGCATTAAGGGGAATGGAAAAATAGAGGTAATAGACATAAAATTGCTTTTTGTGCGTCTTGTCCCTACGAAAATCGGATGTGAATAAAAGTGTATTTATTGCAATTTACCAATGTTTAAATTCAAGTCGGACTTGATTTGTCGACTTTTCATAAAATATATAAAATATATCATTCATAAAATAATTTATTCACAAAATAAATTATTACGTGAGTTATTAATATAAGTATCCAATAAATTTTGCCAATTATTGAAAAAAAAAATATACATATATATATATATATATATATATATATACAAATTAGCAACGGTTCTCCAACTATGTAAAAGTAATGAAACGCGTACACTTTTTAATGTCGTATCATAACAAAAAAATCCATAATAGAATTGCCAATATGCAAATGAAATCATGAACAACGCAGTGGTATCGTGTAACTGCGGCTTACGTACCTACGTAGAGTGTGACCGTAACAGAAAACAAACACGTAGCGAGTGCATACGTAGCGAGCGGCACTTGCGGTCCGTGAAAGATTTATTTGTATTCGGGTGTTCAGTTCAAGTGCACATCGGGTTTTCAATTACACAAAGTGATGGGCGCGCGGCTGCAGGGGCACCGCGAAAAACGTTGCTGCGGTCAAGCAGCCCGTGCGATTGCGCGCCGTTTGCTCGGAACGACTAATTCAAGCGAAAACGGATGCTAAACGAAAGACAATAGGGTCTCTTTTCAAACGAGCGGACGCGGAGCGGACTAAGAGAATCGAGGGACAGCCAGCTTTCGGAAGGCCGAGGGAAGACCCGATCGTTTTTCCAGGGAGGGGACTCTCGGTGGTTTATTGCGTTATTACCTGGACGTGTCCGCGGCGGCGAGACGGACGCAATTTGGGGCGAAACGGGCGATACGTTGCGTCCGAAAGGATTTTGCGGAGCTCTAGGGCGCCCGCGGAGAAAACACCAAGGCGCCCCGAGCCCGAGTAATTCTCTTTGATCGAAAACAGCGAGTCGCATTTTTGTTTCATCCAATACAATAATGTCGGGCCGTTTCTGGATTGCGAACGTCGCGCCGGGCTTTTATCGGCAACGTTGCAACGGATTAAAGGCATTAAATATAAAACCTGAATCGATTTGTCGTTAGTGTTTAACGTTTATTCGCGCGGGCGCTTTTAAGCTTGGAAACGGTTGCGAGTTCGTTTTGCATTCCAAGGGCGATTTTCCGATTAGACCGCGCCGAGTTGTTTGAAATGTCGCGGGACGAATTCTTTTTAAGTGAGAAAACTTCTTGTGGTTTGATAATGCACACCAGATTCGAATTTCAACGACTTCAAAAGAGGCGGAGCTTCTCAATTCGACTGTATTTTTTTTGTTTGTTACCTCATAACTTTCGAGTGGGTAAACCATTTCTATGATTATTTATTTATTTGAAAGCTGGTGCTTTCCATGTGATCATGTAATAATTTCATTGGTATTGGATCTTGGGCTCCGGAGGTACTTAGGAAACTCCCGAAAAACAATTATAAAATGAATACAGAGCGAGTTATTTCAAGTCGGTTTTGTTTTTTGTTAATAAAAATGGACTTGTTGCCTAGATGTTTCTCAAAATTATTATATATAAACACGAATGAAGGTTCATGAAGTGGTATAATCATGAATGGTACCTACCATAAAAAGGTCTTTATTGTAAAAAAAATTATCTTATATTCCTTTAAACAACCCTATAGTGCTGTTAAAATCCTTAACAAATAATAAAAGTCACATATAACTTTACAGGCAATTTCGCGCGAGCCTCCGTGCCACTATTAAAGACAAGTGCTCCAAATCGTGAGAGATACGCGCCAATAATCGCGCGACAAAAATCGTAAATCTGCCCATAGGGCCTATGAAATAAAAGTGGATGTCCATAAAATAAAATAATAACCGGTCAATAAAACCGATGAGGCCGGCTTCTTGAGGGGAATCCGTCAGATGTGTCCCGGCCCGCCCTACTTATAAAAGCGGGGCATTAAGACATCGCCGATGGGGAGGGCGTCAGGCCTGCGAAATTTGATCTGCGACAGGGCGCTATCAATCGACCGGTAATTGGGAGACAGGCCACGCGTTCGGTAACACGATATTGCCCACGAAACCGTTACAATGGTTAACGTTTCGGACTGCGGGAGTAGACAAAGCGACATAAACTTTACACGCGATTCGTATTTCAGGCACGGATCAGGGAAGGGGCTTCTCACATTATCATTGTGATGCCGTGATCGTTACATTATTATATCTGTTCAGCAACCTGCGCCGAAGTGCAAATGTCAAACGTTATTACTTCTAAAGCGTTTGTTCTTTTGACCGCGTATCCCCCAGACGCGGCGCTGTTTATGTTCGTGACAGTTTAATGAAAAAACGGAGTCTCTACAAATTGTTCTTATTTCCATTGAAATCAATGTGTGCATCGGTTATATCCCTAGCGGGTTCCATAGCAATCGAGCCGGGAAATTGCCGACTAAGTCCGATCCGCGCAATAACCTCTGAACTCTCATTATGCAGATTGCTACTCTTTCGCGTATGCACGTGAACTAAACATCTTGGGCGGCGTATGTTATTAAGACTTTCGATATTGGAAATAGAAATCTAGTTCAATTTACTTCGTTACACCCACCGCACCTCGTATTCGCACACATAAACTAAAGCAGATATTAGTTAAATATCTTCATTTCAGGGCTTAGCTTTTACTAAGTCTGAATGTCCTTATCAACCACCGTTAACCGGCAAAAGCGTTTCACTATCAGCCTTTTTTTTTACAAAAAAAAGTCTTATTTACGTGATTAGCTTTAATTTAAAAGTATTATAAGTACTATAATAAATAAGCCCGTCTGCACTTCCAATAAACGTTAAGTTTAAGTAGAATTTTCCGATTTCAAATTTTTTCTCGATATCAACGTCGCATCAATGCGACCGAAAAAAAATCAAGCCGACCCGACACCAACCAACGATTCTAATTACAGCTGAGAGGCCCGCTCCTGATGGCATTAACGGGCAGCCATTACGTTGAGTATACGTCGGAGTGGTCGCATATAGGCGAGCGACATTGTAATAAGAGTATCGTCTGCGAGATAATCTGCATAATTGGCAGTCGTCGTAGGATATTGCGTCCACGTGAAGCGGCTGGGCAATTTTCCGCGTCATTTCCGGTGAATCGTCCACTCGGATAGTGGATTCGAAACGCGTGCCTCTTTACGCTTAATTAGTAGAAACGTACGGGCCCGTAAATACGATGATTACAGAGTTGAAATTGGAAATGCAAAGGAAATTCATCGGACGTCCGTCGAAAGAACACACGAAGGTTACAAGGTTTGTATTCCGGACGCTTATTACGTGTTCAAGCGAAAAATTTAAAAATTATCATAAACATTACAAAAGGGCGAACGCGGAGCAACGAAACGGGCTGAATTTAATTTTGAGCAAAACATTAAAGCATTTCGAGTAGCAGTAAAATATGTGGTGCGAAATGATGTACAAAATATTCCGCGAATTTCATTGTCCCATAAAAGCAAAGCATAATAAAATACCGCCTAGCGAAAGCTTTAAGAATCACGCAAAGAGACTGAAATGAAAAATGTTTCGACTCCCTTGATAAAGTATGTTCGACGCCGAACTACAGTAAAGCAAACAGAGAATTTGGAGAATTTCTGAGGTATTTTTAAGGCAATTAAACGTCTACGTTTAACGGAAACCGTTATGAAGTGAGACTTGTATCTGTTTATTACATTTTCTTGTCAAAATTTGACAAAAATATTGTGTTATGAAGTGGGATTATTCTTCAAATAGGATTGCACGCATGAAATGAGAAAGTTTTACAATTAAAATATACATAAAATTAGTAAAAACAATGTTAGATTTATATTCAGTATAAATTTATCTTGATAAATAATAATTAGCACAGTAGATTCTAAATACTGATAGTACATAAAACATTCATTTTATACTTAAACTCATTTTACGCGTTTAATTTGACGAATAATACGCATCATGATAATGCCGTTACGTAAAAAAATACCTTTTTATTGGTCTGAGGCGTTATATGTAAATTTTGTTACCTATTTCTGTTTAATAGTTAATTAACCGAACGGTTCATCAAACAGTTAGCCGTAAAATTAAAGATATTCTTGTATGTTAAGCTTTACATAGTAATTCTCACCGAGAACCATTCCGTAATTCTCAATTCCACGATTTTACTTCGGTTTTTACAAATCCGATGGTTGGAGCTAGTAAGCATGGCGAGAAACCGATGTAGGGTGAAAAAAATGATATATGGATTCTTAATTAATCGGTCTACGTATTTGGAGCTGCGTTTGCAATATATTTTGATTTTTGGCATTAGCAATACATCTGATAAGAGAAGACGATCGACAAGCGCATATAATGGATGTGATTTGGACACTAAAAATATATCGATACTTTGAAAAATCGACCAAATATGAAAACAAATGAGGTTAACATTCAATTTTGCCTCTAGATTTCTATGGAGAAAATTAACCTATATTTTATTTTTATTTTCAAAGGCCCAATGCCTCGGTTATTCACTCACCAGACGAAATGCAAATGTTTAAACATTTCTACTTCACGCCAGAATTCTAACCTGACTATGGTGCATCCTCGTACAAACATTCGCGTAACAGCTGTTTTATGACCTTCCAAGGGAAAATAATTAAATATTAAATTAATATTCATTATATTAAAAATAAATAATTTTGTTATCTGTAATTGCCAGTTTAAATCTATCATTGCCATCATCATTTAACCCCCTTAATTTCACCCTTCCCTACAGACTGCCTCGAAGCACGATCTTGAGCTGCCTGCATTCGTAGTCTTCCCGCAAATTTGTACAGGTCGTCGCGGTTAATTTTAGAGAGGATAAGAAAATTGAAACGCATCACTACATAGTATAAAACAAAGTCGTCCCGCCGTCTGTCTGTCCCTATGTATGGTTAGATCTTTAAAACTACGCAACGGATCTTGATGCGGGTTTTTTTACTAGATAGAGTGATTGAAGAGGAAGGATTATATGTATAATACATTGTTCCCGTGTGAAGCCCGGGCGGGTCGCTAGTATTTAAATAAAAAATAAAATAAAATTTATACGCAGGCGTGTATCAAATCATGATTTACAATGTTGGATGTGCGCATGTCACGTCACGACCGCCGCGTCACGCTCATCCAGCCACTCATCTCGGCGTCACGCGATCTGCCGTGCCGTCGCGTGTTTTTTCAACGAACGAAAGCCCCTCTATTTATAAACCGGCGAATACTTTCAACGGACCACTGAGTTAGCAGTTTTTGCTTCGCGCATAATGTCAGTCGCGAACGTGTTTGCTGTGGTTTTAATTACTGGACGCTTTTTTTCTCTCCCCTGTTCCAGCCAGTTCGCTGTTCGAGAGAGTGTCGGTTATTAAGTTTGTGGAGTCGGAATAATTCATACGGATGCTTAACCGACAATACCAGAGCTAAATTACATCGCGATATGAAGAATACGAAATCAGATAGCTAGTTATAAAGTGTTAAGACCATAAAATATTAGATTATTTGAATATTGGCAATTAAGCCAATATATATTTTTTTTTAACTGTAGTAGGGCCATACAGTGTGCGCTGTTGCACGAATGGGCTGGTCCTTTAGGGTTCAAGTACCACGACCTCACAGAAGATCGGCGTGGAGTAGAAGTGTTACACTTCTGCGTTTCGTCTGGTAATTTTATTAAAAGGTGACAATGCATCTGCTACCCTACTTGTATTTCAAATGTCCATGGGCAACGGTTATCACTTAACATCAGGTGAACCATCAACGCGTTTGTCACTTTGTCACATAAACAAAATTAAGTGTCCTCTTAAAACTGGTTACGTTTATGTTAATAATTTTAGGTAAGTGTCGAAGTCTCAATGAAATAATTCTCGGTCCGCAATCCGAGGCAACGGAGCGGGGATTTGAAAAGCAGCTGTCCGAGGATTACGAACTAGATGGAGTCACGTAGTCCGCCCACTGAAATGTGATGACACTGCAATCTCGCTGCATGTGCAGATGCTCGCCAACGACCTTATGCGGATAACATTTACCATTTAAGCGATCAAACAATTTACCTCAAAACCACTGTTAGAAGTAAATCTTGTACGCTAGCTATTAAAGAAATAAGAAATTCATCATCCTTACTAACATTATAAACGCGAAAGTTTGTATGTATGGATGGATGTTTGTTACTATTTCACGCAAATACTACTGAATGGATTTTAATGAAACTTTACAATAACATAGCTTATACACATAGGCTATAATATATATACATATTTTATGTATATCTGTCTTTCTGTCTGAATGTTACGCCTTCAGCCTATTCTACGCAGGCAGCAGCTAGTAATCAGATATTTTGTATTTTAACAGAAAACTTATCGACCCGTGTTATAATAAAGTTTTCCTTATATTTTAATAGAGAACTCATTACGTACCGTTCTAAGAATTGCAAGGTTTCTACCCAGTCTTGAAAATAAATGTTAACTTTATAAAATTAACCGTATCTATAAGAAGTTTCCCTTAATTAATCTTTTAAGCTATTTAGTCAAAGAGAGTAAATTCTTTGGTGTGCTTTATTGAATTCTAAGTCGGGAAAGTTGCCTTAAATGTAAACATCGATACCCGACGTTCGGGCTAAGTAGAGTTTAAACGATATCCAAAGTTGCAGGAGTAACAGGGCTTTGTTAAAATAATATACCACAGGCGATTTCGTGAAATTGGCCAAGAACTCAATTAAATTGAGAAATTGACTCTAGATATATTCTGTTATACAACTCGTTAGAAGAAAATTAAACCTCCAATTTTAAGGTCTAAATGTTTATGGAAACTTACATACATATAAAAATAACATCTAATATATAATATTATTGATATAACACTAAATCAATCAATAAACAAAAAAGATTTATGATCATTGCGCATTGCAAAATTCTATTACTCGGAAAAAGTATCCAGAAAATGAACATTTTTGAAGGAAGAATTTGTTTTAAATATTCTAAACAAAGTGGGACGCTCGCTAAACACAGCATATGCACAGTCTACAGGAGTTAATAGACGATATTGAATTATGAATCGTGCATTGGAAGTACGAGATGAATCCGATTTTTTCGCGTCGAAAACCCTGAGGGAAATTCCCGGCAGCGCTATGGCTGCAAAGCCTTCAATTTATGCTGGGTTGGTTTGGCGCCTAGTGGGATGACAATCTTGACATGCGGGCAGAAGTGAAACTGAAAAATTCAGCTTTGTACCGGCTTATGAAAGTGAAGAGATGCGCGAATACCTGCTCTATTGTCTCTCACGAGGGCAAAACGTGACCTTTTACACGCTTAGATTTCGCCTTTTCAGCGGCGAAGGCAAGCGCAGCGCAATCGGAATTCGAGCACACAGAGAATGATAACAGACAAAGGGCGGCACAAACAGAAAATATGTGTTCTCTTTGCTTCACAGACCGAGCCAATCGGGCCGCCGGCGCTCGCAGCGAACTAAACGCGACGCCAACAAAAGAGCCGTAAAGAATGGCCCACCAGCACACTAGCGCTAATAAAATAGTTCGACGCAACAGGTGGCCGCCGCCCGTTCCACTGGCAATACAATAGGCAATAGTAAGACTATCAACGTGTCTCCCTTATCCCCCTATTAGGGCTCCCGACTGTGTGTGCGACCTGATCCCGATTTGTGTACACTTTGTACGCCAAATTCTACTACGTTTCGATTACGAATGAACGAACACGAAACGCGATTGCGATATTTCGTGAGAAATACAACACAACGGCTCCTCGAAACTTTTCAAGTGTCATTCAATTAGAATTTTGTTAAAGTTACGAACGATAAAATCAAATAACGAATACACCGGCGGCGGCTCTTACTTAAAAGTTGTGCTCGTGCAACAACTGACGGGCGCTTTTTATGTGGAATAATTTGTGCTACGAAATCTCCAGCAAGCAGTCGTCCGCTTTGCAAAATTAAAATGAATAGCTATAGATATAAGGATTCCTTTATACATGTTGACAAGCGTTTCGCTATGTCATTCATTGTGCGTACAGCAAAGGAATGAAATAATTTGCGCGCGTTTGACTTTCCGTCTAAATTTATCGTAGGTGTCTTCAAAGCAAGAGTGGATGGGCTGTCAACAACTAGGCAGTCCCAAAAAAAAACTTACATACGAGTAACTGTCCAAGTAATCTTGTCACTACACAATAGACACACATAAAAATTGTTTTGAAACAATCCTCGGTTTAAATGTTTATTAAATCATTGAGATGGCGGATATTAGTCCAAATAAAATATTCATTATCGGTCGTAATTGTTATTAATTCAATAAATTAGACTATTGGCTCCTTAATCCCGGGTCGGACATAACTTGGTACAAAAGGATTTGAAAGTTTCTTCAATAGGATCAAACGATAGTTTTGGTTAACGTCGCCGCCGACTTATCCAACTTTCTTGTAACATTGTATTTGAGGAAACAGCTTAGGAACATTCTTTCTTCAAACCAATATACGAGGCGTATAAGGCCGTGTCTTATCTTTGAGGGGGGCGACATTTGCACTGTCATAAAACGAAAAGAGGCACATTTAATTATGCCAAACAAAAGCTCGCAATGTTTAAACGCTAAGCCCCAGTCGGTGGAGAACAATCTATTATACAAAACAGCGAGCGCACCGCCTGCGAAAGCGGCAGGAAGTGAGGAGTGACAAAACTTGAGTCGACGAGTAATTAGCAATACAAACATGAATCAGAGGCTATTAGTTGTAATTGAATTGTCGCCGGCGACGAAGTTGGCGCGTCGGTGAATTTAAATATCAAGCATCTGGTTTAGCGCCGTTTTATTAGCCCCCACCCGCGACGGACCCTATGGGGAGATTTCATTAAAAATTCAAATATTTTTATGGCCCCACTAATTGCTGAATTGGACGCGAGGACATCGTCGGTTCGTAATTAGAAAAGTTTTCGGACGGAGGCGATATTTTCGATATGGGTGTGTGCCGCTAACGGTTACTTCGATCCGACCATTGTTTTGCGAATCGGCTAATAAATATTCATAGAAACAAACGACGCCATATTACCGAGAAAACTTCGGTCGATCGAGCGTCCCGGCGACAATTTTTCATAGGAATTTTATAAAACACTCCTCCCGCCGCTATGAGGAAATTATCTCCCCCATTGACTAAAATTTTTCACGGCAAGTTTGACATCAATCCATTACTTTTTTTTCCATTTTTATCTCGAAACTGTCACGGGCGAAGTGGAATTGTGTTAATTGCGAGGTTGGACATTTTTATGGATACTTTGTGTTCAAAGAGTGAGGATACTTTTTGAAACTCGCAAAAAGCTAGATACTAACTTTTTCCGTGCTTCATGAGAAAAGGATTGAGTTCTTTTATTTTGTTTAAAATGAAATTACTGTGTTTTGAAATATTTTTGGTTTTACGTGTCGACGTATATTTTCTTAACTTTTACTAGGGATGAAACGTTCTATCCTTTATTCACGGTTTTCGTTTACTCAGAATTTCTTGGATTATGTTTAAATAATTAAATAATAAAAGTATATGATTAAAAAAATTGTGTTTGTAACTTTCATACAAGCTTACAAAGGTACAACAAAAAAAATTCTTTAAAATTAAAAATATATTAATTTTTTATTAATGAACACATTAATTATGAATTAAATTATTATTAATTACGAATATTTTTAGACCACGTGACGGCAAACGCAGCGTAGGAAGGCCTCCCAAAAGGTGGACGGACAACCTAGCCAAGATCGCTGGGACGCGTTGGATGCAGGCCGCTAACGACCGGTCGAAGTGGAAGTCAATGGGGGAGGCCTATGTTCAGCAGTGGACGTCCTACGGCTGATATGATGATTTTTAATGCTAAATTAATAATCGGTAATAATTTAATTTAGGTATATACTTATGAGTAGTTCAGATACATACATAGATACATTTAAATCGGATGCTATCGTCAACGGCATAACGCGTTTCCATTGCATTGTCGTCCAAAGCATTCGGTTACCCCTTACTCGCGATCAAAGAAGTTTTACGTCAACAATATAGCTTACATATGTCGCATAGAAACGTTACAACTTCGTCAAATCGAAGAGAGATTATGTGCAGTGAGTGACGTGTTCATGAACTTTAGATCCGTTAAGGGTTAAATCAGATGTGCATAGTTAATGAGCAGCTGCTAACCCTGCCGTATCCCATCCAGTCGAAGTCACACGAGGGTGTACGTACTAATTGCCTCGAATACGTCAAGAGTGCGGAAGGTACGCGTTCTCGCTCGCATATCTGATACCTACATCTCGGCACCCTTAATACTCTCATGTGGGTAAGCATAAATTAGAAGTCGAATTTCATTCCCCTGTTTCAACATTTGAACTTTACTTATGGGCAACGCAGATGTCAGAAAGTCGGGGCCGAGATGTGGCAGTGTGCTCAGAATTACTCACCTTTATTAGGGTTGGCCCTGATTACTTTGACGGATCTTACGATAAACAATAAAGCGGGGCGCAAGGCGCGGTCTGCTAGCGCGACGGAGGGGAGAGGCCGTAATTCTTCATCTCTCCGCCCGTAATGATTGTAAATCGTTTGCTTATTAAATTCCGACCTAATGGCCGGCTCGTTAAACGGAAACATTTCTAATAACTTAAGAGCTTTCACCGAAATTCTCCTAACAATTTACCTTGGGTTATATGACAGTTTGCGTTCGGTGGGGATTATTAACCGAGAGATTTGAATAGATTGTTGCCCGGAAAAGTGTACGTAGGGTGTGCAGATGGTTTCGACTGAGACGCATTTCAAAACCGTGCCTTCTCTTTTCAAAGTGCCGCACAAAGAGATATTATCTGCTAGTAGGCATATTAGATCTCTTTTGATAGGCTTTAGGTGTAAAGATAAGTATATCACAAGGGATTTAATGAGACCATATAAATACGATACTAATTTATAAGGCACTCTTCTGAAAACGAGATAACGCAAATGTATTTAAATATACACTTGAACCACATCAAATACTTCAACGCTCTGTATGAGTACGAAAACAAACTTTGCAATTGTTTTCGTTAAATAAATTAAACAGTTGCTTAACGGTCGTACGGTATAAATTATTAACAAAAAAGTATTTGTAATAAAAATGAAATCAAGTGTTTGGGCCTTAAATCAGCTTCTGCTGTTGCATGAATGTGCTGGACTCACCCGGGTAAGTACCACGGTATGACATAAGACCTGCGTAAAGTCAAATTATCAGCCAGCCAATTTTTCACATAAAAAAGCGAATGGTTTATAGATAAGAACTGTGATATTATTTTTATATCTCCGTTATTTAGACTAATTCTATATTTTCTATAATTGTTATCCGTTTCAAAAGTATAAATAAAATCCAAAACTTACCGACTTCTGGAGCCTTAATATCATGAAGTTGTGGTGGACTAATTATTTTTACACAATTTAAAATTATGCAATTTATGTACCTTATGCTACTACTATCATATCAATCTGTGTTCATTGTAAATAAAAGGTTACTTAGGTCTCTATCATACTGTTTTGTTAACCGACAGTAGATTTATTAAGAATAAAAGATAGGATCGGTGTGTGTTAAATAGATAGTCTTTAATTTTTTTTTTATCCATTCTTTTAATTAATTAAAGGGTTAAGGCATCTACAATGTTACTTCTGATGCACGTTTATTTACAATGGAGTCCTGACTTATATTCCCTCTAAAGCTGAAAGCATCGTGTATCTAAGAAAGAGTATATATATTCTTCATGACCAAAAAATAACCATTTAAACGCAAGGTTAGTAAACAAATATCTTTTTCACAAGATGATCTTTCACTATCACATAGTTTTATCAAATATCCATAGTTAGCCGAATGCTTAAGTTTACTGTATGTTTAACATACCCCAGTAATGTTAGGACGAACGTGGCGGAACCGCGAGGCAGTTTTCACGAGCTGTCATTTCCTTGACTCAGCTAAGTACGGATTAAGTCGCTTGTCGCACGCGTCGAGATTTCACAGCCTCCGCCTCCGAAACGGAATTTGCGAATAATCTTTCACAGAACACGGACGTCGCACCTCCGATGTTATTCATAGACGAAATGTTCATTCTTTTACGTTTTTTTTTAAAGGCTTCTTCTTTATAATAATAAATATTACAATGTACATTATTTAACACATCTCTGTGTAAAAATGAGATGTCGAACATTCCTTTTAACATATATTCGTGTTTTGATATTATTGATTAATACTAAAAATGTTGCTATATATAATAATGATGCTTTTAAACGATCTAAATTTTCGGGTAGATATTTAGAGCATTTGTTAACAAATATCTTGTTAATAACAATACGACTGTAATTACATACGATATAAATCTATGATCAATTACTAGACGTCTACGATGCATACAAATTTCTAAATCGCTTTACAGTACTAAATTATTCATTAATGCAAAGCAGAAACTTTTTAATTGGATTGACGACATCAAGAGAAAAACGAAAAAAAATGTAAAAAATTTGGAACGGCTTTAAAACATTACAGAAGACGAGAAGAAGCATTACAAATGTAATGATTTTTAAGCGTAAATTACACGTTGACTGAAAACACCAAGAATCAAAAATCCATCAAGTTTTGCTACCACTAACTGACAATCTACACTCCGCATTTGGGGTAAGACAAAAGTCCAGTTTCCCATGGAATAATCATACCTAAGCATCCGTATCTGATATGATTTGTCAGTCAACCTAATGTAATAGTAAAAGGTATTGTCAAAATTTATACAATATTGGGAATATTGAACGAATTGGAAGAATTGCCCGATCCTGACCTCATTAGCATACGCGGTGGCGCCGTATTTTGCGGTCGGACGCATAAATCAAACGTCCGCGAAATAAATAAAAACAGAATCAAGACGAATGGTGGGGAAATATGAGAGGAAACCGAGGCAAATAAAGGCGTCCCATTTCCGAGTGTCGGTGCCCTAATGATTGCAAAAGCGGTGCTCGGAGGCAAGGCATCGATTGTCCCGCGGCTACCCCACCGTCGGCGGGCGATATAATCGCGCAAGCAACGGCCACTGATCTTGACAGCGCCATTACTCACGTTTGACAACAGTCACTTGATTCCAGGCCTTGCGTTTGCCGCACTTCTCGCTGAGCGCGGACATCAGCCCACGGCTAATTTGTATTGAAATTTTCGTATGCGGCAATGGTGTCTGGAAGGAATTTGTGGCCGCTGACTGGTGACGCGACGATCTACCGCTACTACTCAAAATTTAATTACTTATATTAAGGAAAAATTTAATGATTCAATTTTTTTTTATTAACTTCTTCTAGACTTACACGAATTTAGTTCATTTTAAATTAAAACTACGTTTTAAGCTATTCTACAGCTTTCATCGCGGGCTTTGAGCGCGGCGACTGAATCAAGAAATTTCGTAACGAAAATAAAACCTAACACCACCCATTCCGCTAACCATGTAAGAAGAAAGATTTGATTGTTTGTATGCATTGAATAGGCTCCGAAACTACTGAACCGATTTGAAAATTTCTTTCACTGTTGGGAAGCTACATTTTCCCGGGATGACATAGGCTATATTTTATTTTCAAAAAACTAGGGATCCTTACTAAAACTTCAACAAGGTAACCCAAAGTGATCAAAAATTATTGTTTTCTTGAAAAATTACCTAAAATATTCTTTACATCGCGTGCGCTGCGAAAACTATTGATGATAGAATAAAACAATGTACTACGAATTTGTAGAACACATCATTATTTACAAAAAGTTTCGCGACAGCATATGTTAAAGTTATGCCATTTTAGTTATAGGTATGCAACAATAAGTGTTCTTTTATTTTAAAAATTTGATTGAAATGCCGCCGCTAGATAAGGCTCCTTATTTGTATTAATCCTTATAAAAATAAATCAATTCATATTTAAGACTATTTCAATTTCTTTATATAGCTTTTTGAATTATTAAATTCGGATATTCCATTCGAAAGATACCACAAGTTTAAAAATGTTACTACATTGTAATTTAACTATCCAAAGAGCTTACAAAAATGGTAAGAACTACTAAGTCAGTAAGTAGACTTAGTAGTTTTTATCATTTTTGTAAATAATATAAATAAATAATATATAATTAATGAAAATATATATTAATTATACTATACATTAATAATTATAATATTAAAAATATTATTATTTATTAATATAAATACAAATATCAAAAAAATACATACTGCATAAATAAAAAAAAAAATAGTATAATTGCATAAGTTGATAAAAGATGCTATGCATCTTACCATAGCTTTACTTTGTAGATTTTTTTCTTTAGTTTTTTTTTAATAATTTGTCTAACTTTATTGTGGTAGGGCCAAGTAACAGCCTGCACTGTTGCACAAATGGGCAGGTCCGTCCGGGAAAGTACCACGACCTCACAGAAGACCGTCTGGTATGTCAGGTAACCGGAGCCTATTTACTCAAATGGTGGCAGCATCTGCAACACTACGGGTGTTGCATAATTCCACGGGTGGCGGTGATCATTTAACATTAGATGAACCGCCAGCTCGATTTCCGCTTCCCCGCATAAAAAAGAAAATAAGTAAGAACTATAAATTATATTTCATGTAGTTATGTAATATTTGTAATGCTGTTTTTTTAAATAAAGTTTTAATTGTAAGAATGTATTTCTTAGAGTTTGTCTTTTTCATTGATTGATTTAAAATTACATAGATATTAAAACTATTTTATTATAGTAAATAATTCACAAACTAAAAAAATTACCATCTGTAAGTTTTATTTAAGAAATCTTAGAAACTAAAAATACAAACTCAATGTTAAATAATTAATTAAAACATTTTCGACATTAGATCCTGTTAGATTTCAATAAGCCAAGCAAAGTAGAGGAACTTGTGTATATCTTTCACGTACGAAGTTCCTATTAGTTACGAATGGATATAAACGTAAAGTTAGACGTCATTGAAGGCAGACTGAATGAGATTGGGTTATACGGAAACCATTTATCCAATCTAGCCGGGGATTAATTAAGTAAAATGCAACAAGTTTGAGTTTGCGTTGCTCTCTGGAACGACTGTCCCGTGTTTTATTATGGAAGCAGCTGAATTAAATAAGAAGATACTGGAGTACTCCATGGTTGTATTATCTTTGGCGGCGGGTGCCAGTTGAAATTGCATTTAAACTCACCTGCAATACAGCACAATATGTTTCGTCGCGGCCCCTAATATCGGTGGATCGATGCAATTAATTACCGCATAACGTTGCTTATTAATGGCCAAATAGACGTTAAAGGGAAGCGTCTTTGCCGTGATGAGAATATGTAAACGCAATACTCTCCGTCGACCACAACGCCATTCAAATGAATAATCCGTCTATATTGTTATACTTGAGCGTCAGTTTCTAATAAATTTTGAGGTGTCAGTGAAGCAATTATGAGAGTAAATTATTACGATGCACTCGCACAGAGACATGAAAATGATACCGCGATGTTAAATAAAATAAATACTCTTTTATGTCATCCTCATAATATTGAAAACGGAATATCTTTTTTTGGAGTTAGTTTTGGCCGTGTCATCGGGTTGATTAGAAATAGTCCACAGTATCCGATCTTAAGTGGATAGGATGCTCTTACGAATGCGACATGCCAAAATGCCAGTTGGCGAGTTTGTGATAAATTCGATTGAGGACGCGCCGAGAGTTCTTTATCGGTTCACGTTGCGTCGAAAACGCGTTACCCACGATGTCTACAATTGAATTTGTCCCGTAATTTCATTGCAATAAGAGCGTCGTGGACTGTAAGCGGTGAATCGGGGGAACATACGGAAACAGCCTAATGACGGCTTGGAGTACAATGGCACGTGCAGCCCTTGTTATTGCTATCTGACCTGACCGCTACGAGCGATTTGTCCAAATGAGATCCGGACCTCTTCTCGGATGCTTTGTTATTTTTCCCTTCGCTCGTGAAGTATTGAATCCACTCCCGTAGGTTTTGCTGTCGCTCCAGAAAACATTATTCGTTCCGAATTTTCAATTACAATTTGGAACCGTTATTACAATCAAAGTATCCCCCAATCACCCAAGATGATCTGACTTCGAAACATCATTCGAATTTCACGCAATCCATTAAAGTTGATTTAAGCCCCTTGCCGTTTCTCCCAATTACAAATGACAAAGAGAAAACCACTTAGTTTAAGAAAAATATACACAATTCGACTTCATTTCATTATTTCACATAATATTTAGAATATGAGCGCAGTACCTACATTTTAAACATTCTCGTAAGCTTACATTTGAAATGACACGGCAAATACGTTACAGCGAAACTGATAGTCAACTTTGTTTGTGATCATTAAAACTTCTGAGTGATTAAAACGGTTTAGGTTATATTCAGGTAAAGCGTTTTTTTAGGGTGAGGAGATAGTTCATAGCTATACATGAAGCAACAGTCACACATCTACTGGTGCATCATTTAGTATACTCGAGCACCTGAGTTCAATCCCCGGTGCCGACACTAATGAGATTCTTGATTTTAAGTGCGGACTTATATGCTCAGTGTTCTAACCTAAATAATTACAAAAAAATATTTCTAAGACATTTGAAGTCCGCCAATCAGGAGTGGGTGCTTGGTTGACTATTTTTTTTATGTGAAAAGTTGCCAAACGAGCAGACGGTTCACCTGATGTTAAGTGAATACCGCCGCCCACGGACATCTGTTACACCCGAGGGTTCCAGATGCGTTGACGAATCTTTTGAAAATTGCGCTCCGGCAACCTCACTCACCAGACGAAACGCGAAAGTAATATACTTCCACTTTACGCCGGTCTTCTGTGAGGTCGTGGTACTTACCCGGATGAGCCTGCCCATTCGTGCAACAGCCGGTACGGCTGCGTGGCCCTACCACCGTGAAAATATGGTCTATGTCGTAATACCCTCTGCACAGGAGAGGCTTTTGCCCTGCTGTCGGACATTTATAAGCTCTTACTTTACTCCTCTTTTTGTTAAAGGTATTTTTTTTTATTTGAGAAAGTAGGAAACGAGCTGGCGGTTCACCTGATGTTAAGTGGTAACCCCCACGACCACCATTCAATATAGGGGGCTCCACACTACGGCTCGGGCTACCATACTCACCAGACGAAACGCAATAGTGTAACACTTCTACTTTACCCTGGTCTTCTGTGAGGTCGTGGTACTTACCCGGACGGACCTGCCCATTCGTGCAACAGTGAACACTGTTGCTTGGCCCTACCAAAGTAATTAAAAAATCGATGAAGTAACAACGTTCTTAGCGGCGGGCTGCGTTCGCGGCGAACGGTGTTCTCCGGCGTTTTCGCGTCGGTAACCGTAATCCGGCACACAATTAATCTTCGTGTGGACCCTCAGGAGGTGGCCGGCGCGGGCGAGTTTGCGGCGATGGCCCCGATTTGTACGCCGGTCGCCCCCGGGACGTGTTCATCATATGATAATCCCTTATCGGTTAATCTCGCGGCCACGTAGCCGATTAAGTCCATAAATGATAGAGCGCTTAAATTTTCGCAGCCAACCCGAAGTTTTCGAACTTGGGGCGTCCCAACCGAAACTAATGGGTAATATTTGCGGTTGCGAATATGAACATCTTGAGATTAGTGCATATTATGGCTAGAATTTATATATACTTAAAATTAGGATACTTAATTTTTGAGATGTAAATTCAAGCTTGACGATAAGTTAAAAATTAACATAAATAATTGGTTGCAGTTGCTAAGCTAGGTGGTTGTCGATTCGATTCCCACAATAAAAATTATTAAAAGTTCGATGAAAATTTTGGTCACCCACAGACATATAATAAATAACATCTGTGGATCCGGGCGTTGTTTCCCCAGTTCATTAACAACATCATTCACATGTTGTACCGAACCCACATGTGTAAGCCCACATGATAGACTAAGATAGAAGTAGAAATTTATATATACTAAAAATTTGGATACTTAATTTTTATAAATACTGGCAAACTACGTGCAGAACAACGACGATGGCACCATAATAAAAAAACGTAGAACGCGATAAAGAAAAAAAAAGATACGTGGCATGTTTTCGTTTCTAATGATATTTCATTCACGCACACACTAAGAGGCACGATTTGGTATTAGTTGTTGGTAATTCGCCTTCGAATTGTTGGCAAAGCGCGCCAGGGCGGGCTCACGTGCCTTCGCCCCGCCCGCCCAATGTTTCACTTGCGTTACTGTGACAGTTGCCACCTTTTACCAAATTGTGTTTTCGTGTTCGACCGAGTTTCCCTTATAAATACTGTTATTAAGACAGCGACATCGTGACAGGCGCTAATGCCCGTGGAAGTATCGGGCCCATTTGTGAAGTAATGTAAGCGACACATGCTACGGCCGTCAGGCTGTCACACTTCAGCGTTTGCCCGCTCCTTCTTCATTATTCGTATCACTTAATGATTCATCATGAGTGGCATCGCAATAAAAAAGTAATTAGAAACACTGGCTGGAGGGGAAAAAAACGAAAAAAAGTTATCGCTAATTAATTCTTTCGCAACAAAAGTTCGGCCGCGCCGTGGCCGGTGCAGAGCAGTGGGAAAAGTTGACATATAATCGTCAAACAATTATCAGTATTTCACATGGTGTGAAGAAGAAAATGTTAAAAGTTGGGGGACGGTCTTAGATCACGTCTACAACGGCGCAAAGTTCAGCGAATAAATTAGGGAAGGGAAAGTTTCGGAGCAGACAAAACGCCTGTTATCTTCATTTAATTTTACAGCTCAGGGGGAGCAAGATTTTTGAGACCAATTATTTCGATTGAGATAGCGGGGAATCTGCTAAAAGCCACTCCGTTTGAAGCCATGTATGCTGACGCTGAAATCAGCGTAAGCGAAACACGTAAGAAACTGAATAAGTTTCGTGCTAGTGCAAACTACACTCGAAGTAGTGAACGAAATGCGAGTGAAGTGGATTCAGCTGCTTGCAAAACATATCTTACAGTTAGAAACCATTAAGTAGGCTTTATAAGGCGCGAGGGGGTCGACGGTACATCATTACCGGGCCCCGCGTCATTTGTTTATTAAACACCCTCTGAGGTGGAACGGAATAATGGCCCGGTAGACTTTGTCACGGTCGCTTTCCCTTGAAATTAAATCGTAATGATGATGCGCGCTTCAGTCACTGGCGCGCCCCACCCCCAGCCCGCATTATTAAGTTCCGCGGCGTCTTGAGGTCAAAATGAATGGGACCCTTTAAAGTGCGCCCAGTGTGCCGGCTGTCGTAGATATGAAAAGAATTGGGTTGAGTGCTCCTTGAGAGCGGTTGCCGAAAAGTGCGCTGGGTGGGAGATCGTTGTTTTTCCCTTCCGTTTTGTGATCTGAATGCTAACTGCGGCGGACACGTTTCGGGAGTCGGGGAATCACCACGGTTGCTTGGTTGCTCTTTAAACATCAGTTGAGCTTTCAAAGCCTGACCTTAACCATAGCTCCGATAGCTATTAGACGTTTATTACAAAAAGTCTATTATACAATAAACTATGTTTTGTACATAAAGGGGTGTATAGCTAATGGTTATGTATTTAAGTGAATTTATTACTTCGTAAGCATGTCAAGCAGTGAGCCTTATTGTCGTACACTGGGCACATATGTAAGAGTCTTTTTTTCGTCATAAATGCGAAAAATGGTAATCTTATAAATGCACCTGGGATTTGAATCGCGACATTACGGTTGCATGTCCGATGGCCACGGTGCTAAGTTAGTCCTGACACAAACTATTTATTCAAATTTAATGTACTACTATTAAACGTAATCGTAGACAGGCTTTTACCAATTTACATACATAAGGTTGTGTAATAAAGTGACGTTACCATTGTAAGTTACCATTTTTAATTTTAATGTGGTTTTTTAAAAAGTATCTTAGCACTCGCTTATAAAACTAAACGCAACCTGTTCTCAAGTATTTTGCGGGGCTTATTGCAATTTTAAGTGCAAATTTTCCACGTTATCAGGACAGCTTCGTGTCTGGGAACTTTAAAAAATAACTCCTGATATGTAAAGCCCAACAATCGACAATGACGGACTTTAAACTCATACCTTCAGCATAGAGGAGATAGCTCGGTATGCTATATAGTAAGTACCGTTTCATATAGCGTATCGTAGCACGCGCGTAACATTTTAATTACAATACGGAACAACTACATCGCATCGTAACGTAAGTAATAATAACAATTCGTGGAATCGAAATTATTAGCGGAAAGGAAAAATCTTTTAGCTTCCACAAAGAATTTTAATTAAAAAGTTGCGCGCAGTATCTGCTGGAGAATATGTAATCTGTTGTAAATTAATTCATAATTGGCTGTTGGCAGTCGACATTAGAAATTGTGCTCTCGGGAAAGTTCTTTTCGTAAATCACTCCCTTTCCGACTGTTATAATCGCTTCGCGCCGTTTACCTCCACCTTTTTAGCAAATTATTGGTGGAGTTCGAGAAATACTTCCGACAAGTAATGTTTCACTTTCGAAAGTAATTAATCAAAGGTGAATTATGTTCATAAATGACCGTTGATGTGCTTTCTTAGCTCCAAAATGGCTATTGTTTAGAGTCGAAGTTTAATAATATTCAATGCCAATGAACTTAACAGATTACTTTCCATAAAGTATACGGGAGTTGTGGGTAAAGTATAAAGTTGCTATTGCGTTGTAAAAATTTAAATGGGCCTAATTAATTTTTCATTTCTCATCAAACAGATTTACGTTTGAACGCAGCTGATCGCCTTTAGTGGATTAGGCAAGTAGAATACTTAACGATGCTTTAACATTGGCGTGAAAAGTTGGCGAATTTATCGGTTTTCATTATTTTTCAAGCGTAACGGGCGAAGTGTAAAAACTGTTTTAAGGCGGCGTTAACTTCTGGTTTCGCCTTGGGCGGGAAATCGCGAATACTCTGTTCTCCGTATACATCACGCGGGAGTGGGGTTGGTGAGTCGAAGTGTTCGCATAAATCTACACAACGAATTCCCTATGGGGTATGAGTGTGGAGTAATTTGTGAGCGCACCGGCCCGCCCGGCGTCGCGCTAGCATTAACTATTAAATTCATTGCATATTAAACTACCGCTCAGAAAGTTGTACCTAATCTACAATACACCTGGACGCACCGTTTCGGCCGACGTTTTGGGAGATTTTTGATAATAATTGAAGACTGCCAATACACACACAACGCCAGATGTGTTGAAAGCGTATACACACACATACACAGTTGTTTATCCCAATTACAAGAAGGAATGCAATATATTATACGCTTTTACGTCAAAACCATCTTCTCAGTTCTGTGAGCCAAAGTGTGAGAGGTACCTTCCCCAGTTAATTTGGTCAGTTCGTTTTATGTATAACTGTTATTGTTATAAAACGGCAAATCTTATCGTTACTATTTTTTAAACCATTTCCAGCGTATATCGGGTAGCGGATTACTAATGAAGAAATCGAGCACGATAATCCGTTTGAGATGGTCGGAATGCCCCCTTTGTTCCCTTCTACACCCAGCAGCCCCTTCACACTGTGGTCGAGAGTTCAAAACCTCTCTTGACACGCTTCGTTTTTACCTTTACTTGAATTCGAGCCGATCACGGCTTTGTGTTCTATATATTACCAAACATTTTAAAATTACAAGCTAAGGTGCAGTTTGAAATAAATTTTTAACCTTGAATCATTTCAAATGTCTAACCATTATGTATGCGTACTTTCTCTTAGTCTATCTCAACGTTGGCAAGGACATGTCATATCAAAAATGATGATGTGATTGTTTGACTTTAATTACAGCGAAAACATTTGCGTTGGACAAAATATGACTAACCCTGAAGACGCGGCAGACGCAAATCGTCTACTACCACACACGAGATCTGTTCCTTGCAATAATCAAGATATTCTCAAACACCGACTATGATAATTCGTGGATATTTATCAAATGTAAAATATGTAGTTATTAAAGTGTTGTCATCCAGAATAAAACGCAACAAATTCGACAATTTCCCATTTTTCCCGCGTCGGTGAATATTCCGCGTGCGTCGAGAACTACTTTTCCCATTACCATCCGGTGGGGCGTCGTGGCCGTGGCAATGCACTTTCGCTGACCCCTTGCCTCCTTCCATTACTGCCCTCTCTCTCCCTCGTGTGTACTTTCCTCGCGTTGCAGCTCTTTCGCGCGCGGCTGCGCTCGCGCTTCCCGATTGCCGAGGCAATAACATTCTGCGGCACGCCGTCGACTCGGAACGGGTTCTGTCGATGACTTGGACGATTACTTGTAAGAGAAACAATGGTTACCACGGTTACATTTAAGGTACCGGCCCCACGATGACTTATGCCGACGACTTCAGCTCTACCCGATCGGATATTAAAATGGATTTCGTTTTAGGTCCGACGCAACGCGATGCCGAAACACCCTCCGTGTTTTTAAAGAAAAACTCACGCCGGTTTAATAGAGCACGTCTTTATCGTGTGCGCGTGGCATAACGAAATTAATGTTTAGAACGCTTCATTATTTATCAGCGCATCGTTATGCACCAGTACAATATAAATTGCGTGCACATACAGCCGGTGAAAGCGCTGCGGTACAGTTATAATCGTATTTGAAACAGTCAGCAACCTATATATGCGAGTTTGCCAATGAATCAAGAGTAATATCGCAGTTATTGGAGAGAATAACTTTAATAGTTACGGGAGCGAGAAAGCAGTCGTCCTATTTTGTGCCACTATCTTGTTACTTTTCAGGTGAATGATTTTGTAGCATATTTTAAATACGTTAACACATACTACATCTCCGTTTGAATATGAAGATGTAACCCAGCTCTGTGGTTTGAAGCTCACACGATGTAGGGCGCCGAACTATGAATTACACTCAAGTATTTATGGTACCGTATAATTTCAGAATGCACAATTTAGCGTCGCGGATATTTCAACTCTGACAATCAAAAATTTAGGACGACATTCGTTAGTATCACTCTCAGGAGGACCACGTCCTAGACTTGCGAGCTTATTGCCGCTCTTGATACGAATGGTTTTAAGTGTGGCGCGTGGCTGTTGAATTTTGAGGCATGCGGCTTATGGGTTTAAGTGCATATTCCTTTGGCCTAGTGTTGTCCGTAAGAGTCACTGCAACTGGCAACATTCCATCGCACAATGAGTAATTTAAAAATTCAAAAACTCGTCGACGCTCAACGTACGCGATGCGATGCGATCCTACGAGAGCGGGGCCTGCAATTGAGACTCACCAGCGCGGGAACAAAAGGAATAACCCCGTACAGTGAAGTGTCGTATTGCTTATATTTGCAATAAAATCAAACGTTCCCGTGCCTCGGTACAACGAGACTCTCATTTCAAATTCTGGGAACATCTTTTCACGGGTAGACCTCATCAGTGATCCCGATAGTCATATCTAATTACCAAAAACAATTAAGAGGAGGAAAATGGGATTGTGGTTCGTGGAAGGCGTGTGTTTTAACGCTTATTGGTAAACATGCAAGGCCCGTTACGAGCGATCGCCGCGCGCGTCCACTATTTTTAAATGAAATTCCTCCGACTCATACATCCCCAAGTATCGTTTCAGTACGGAGTCCCGCTTCGGTTTTCCGAATTCCACCGTAGGTATTTGATTGCGATTAAATTATTCAGCCGTTTTTCGATGCGCACTACACGGGCCGGCTTGTTGCCGGGGTTGATATGTCAATTAAACGGCGCTATGCATACTCGAACATTCCCGAATACTTACTATTACGCAACGCTGAAATCAGTTTTCGCGCGAGGTGAAATAATGCAATTTGAACGATGCTAAATGGACCGGAAACATATTTCGGTCAATATTTTATTTATACGGACATTCGTTAACGGCGTGGTTATTAATGGCGCGCGCCTGTGTAATGCGCTTTATGCGTGTAGGCGAAACATTTTCGAACTAATTATTCTTCATAATAAATCATAGCAAATCATATTTAATACAGCAGAAAGAAAACGTCGTTGTATTATTTAACACTATCAAATGATTATGATAACACGGTAACAAATCAGATGAACAATCCGAGGAAAAACTGTTAACATTCAATCTGCAAGTATAATTTCCACGGAGCGAAGTGAGTCAGGCGATTATAGCGTTAAATGCGATGGCAAGACCGCTCAGGTTTCCTTGGAGTGCGCCGGTGGAGTTTTTTCAAAGCGCGTAAGAGTGAGGCGGCAAAAACCGGGCCGTAATTAGTCTTCGGAGTCGAACCATGAACGGGCGCGGAGTCAAGTGGCCACTGAGGGCCCGTGCACCGGACTCACCCTGAATCGAGTGTGTATACAACACTCGATGTCTATAAAGGGAAACATCCAATCGCCGAGGGCTCATTAATTGTGGCTCGCAACGAGAATGCTACAGGACGTGTAAACAATGCGTTCGCGTATTGTTCAACGGTATTCCGCAGATACCTGCCGTCTAACGGAGCCGTTTACAGTTTTATTAAGATAGATGTACAGGTACTTCATTCGCGGAACCATCATTATGAAGATCGGTCAGGTCAGCAAATTTTGTGTTATGCGCAACTTGTCCGTTTATCAATCAATCGTATTGTATCGGTGATCATCTAAAAAGAATTAAACTGAACAAAATAAGTAAATTTAACAATTTCTGAACACTACTGTGAAATCACTTTAGAAGAAGAAGAAGAAGAAGAAGAAGAAACGTTTATTCACGGTCTAAGCACAATAGATACAAAGAACACTTAAAAATAATAATGTAACTACACATTATGTAAAATAATATTAGAATAACTTAAAATAAATGTAAACATAACAAAAAAACTAAAAAAAAATAATAATAATACTAATAAGTGAAAGGTCTGTGTAGCAGCATAAGACCGTGAAACGGACGGGACTCGGTAAAAGTCGAGATACAGTAACTAAGATTCGTTCTGATCCCGACGCCGGTTTTCAGTCCGCCCGCACTTCGAGACAACTCGGACGGCTGCGTCAGTGCACTTGTAATACATACCTACAACGCAGTATAGCGATAATTAAATTATTTTTGTTTGAACCTTTAAATTATATAGACAGTGGATATCATTCGTCTGAAGAGGTAAGTAAAAATTAGAACTAATGTTTTCTTATTTGATATTGGTGTCAGCTGCTTTTTTTCCATTTTGGTTTTAGGTTACCAATATTTATCCCTACTCTGTGGCACTGTGACATTTACCGATAGAGCAGTGGACACGTGACTTAATTTGAAACGTAAAATGGGAGACAGACCTCGTTGCGCGCTGGCCACATGATAAAGGTAACAAAATGAGTGTCTTATAAGTATATAAATTTTACTTTACAGCAATGGTCATTTGTTTCAACGCTGTAATGAGCATAAGACTTTCGTAAATGAAATACGTTTTAAAAGATTCGATTCAACGTCTTGAATTTATTGTAATTTTATAACACATATTCTCACACAATGTCATATATAACAGCCTGATGTGACGTTAATTAGTTTCTCCATCCGCTACACTGAGATTTGATTTTTGCTTAGAAACAACCATTTCCAATCAATTAACCCAACGTATGCTGGAGTAGCGACCAATACATAGTGTACTAAGAAGTCGCTTTTACAAATAACCGACCGGCCGTTCATTTAGGCAGCGCCATTCATCCCAGTCGAGGTTCCGCATTCAGACACCGGATGAATAGGGAAGTCGGAAAAAAAGTGTTGTACACGTAGAAAACGAGACTTCGATGGGGCCGGTGTTGCTGAATAACTTTGCGTACTACGGGCGCTGCTTTATGCTTTGCGAGGGCGAAAATCTTGTTGATTAACTTCCCCGAATCCAGCTCGTCCCGAACGGACGCGTCTAAAAGTTACATTCGATCACGATTCGTATGTTTGAGAGCTGCGGTAGCTGCGTCTGGGCTTTCTTTCTTTTAATTCAATATAGGTACTCGAGCAAACTGAATTCAATTCCCGGTGCCAGAACCAATGAAATTGTCAATTTGAGTTCTGTAACATCATGTGCTCAACGGTAAGAAAGCATCATGAGGGAACCTGCATATTTTCGAAATAATAACAAAAGAAAAACATTTTTCAAAGATATGTGTGGCTGCAAATCCGCTGTGTGGTCGCGTGGTGCGTAACGTTCTTTTCATTTGTCTTATCGTTGATTTTTTCGTTTAGTAGATCAAAAAACATAATCGACTGATGGGGGCTGTAAGGTAAGACGAACTGTCACTACTAACTTCTAGCTCTCAAAAAATCCTCGATGCGAATGAAGAGGTCGAACTATCACGGTCAAATTCAAAACGTAACAAAACTCTAGGACTATTAAACTAAACATTACCATTTTCACTCTCTACAAGTCTCTGCAAAGTCTGCAAAGTCAGCTCGCCTTTACTTCAAAATATTTGATCAACCTGAGTTCGATCTCCGGTGCCGGCACCAATGAATGACTTATCACTTACTCAACGGTGAAAGCAAACATCGTGAGGAAACCTGCATATTTTCAAAAGAAAAAAATATTTCGAGAAATTTGAAGTCCGCTAATCCGCAGTGGGACCGCGTAGCGGACTACGCCCTGATAATCTCTGTATAGAGGAGGACTTTGCCCAGGAGTGAGACATGTTTAGGCCTTATTACCTTACTGTTTTACTTTTATATTTTTGATTTTTGTCTGGTGAGAAAGAGCTCTCATAATGGTTTATAAAGCTATTGCAATCTCACGGTTGACGTGAGAGTCCATGGTATCGTGTAAAATCACGTATTTCATTGTTTGCTATCTTCTCTCGTAGAAAACGACATTCATTTCTATTATAAAGAACCGATAATAGGATGGTAATATCGAGTCTTAGCACTAAATTGGGCTTTTATTACAATATTAACCGTTACGGCCTAGGAACCTTCAAGAAGAGAGCATACTCTTTCCTAAAAGGCTGGCAAAAGGTAAGCCTTTTTATGTTGTAGTTGTCCATGGGCGGCGGTGACCACTTACCATCATGTGAGCCTCCTGCTCGTTTGCCGCTTTTTTCCCCATAAAAAAAAAATCCAGTCTTCTCTCAGAATGGCAGTTCTCGTACAAGTACCCGAATTGTTTAAGCCTGTTAAAGGATGTTTATTTTCTTTCGTACTAGGCACACACTACCAGGTTATCAGTTAAACTCACCGTTTCGGACGCTGTGTAGCGCCCGTTGCTGCACTCTAGTAGAGTAGATTCACTCACCTGTAACCAAATAAATGTATGTTAGTTAAACTGCTACTCACGATATATTGGTATCGTTAAAGTGTTACTTTTAAATAAGTAAACTCAAACCCACTCTCGAAAATTTTTGGAGGGATCGATTGAAGTATTCATCGATTTTAGTTTTTTTTAGATTTAATTGAGATTAATAGATAATTTAATTTTAATTGAGATTAATTGATAACTGTTCTCACATTTATCAGTAACCACATCATGCGTTTTAATGTAATGCAAAACAATATAAAAATTATATAAGTTAATGAGACAAAGGTCAATCGCGATAGTATGTTTGGTGGCGAAGTAACTTGAAATTTAAATACCAGGCAAACATGAATGCGGGACTAGTGGTGTGATATCGAATTGCGCTTCGGCTGACAATTCATAGGGTCGGGGCGCGCCGGCCACAATCTGCGCTTAACTTCATTAGCTGAGCGAATTGCTAAACGCTCGCATTGTCGACCGCGGCACGGGCGCTTGTGGCCGAGGCTCCGAGAAGCGGTCAGTCATGCAAATAGATATCACCAAGGGTCTGGAGCGACGTATTCGTTTAGTATCGATCTATTGTTCTTTGAACTAGGGCCAATTTGATGTTCTATAACATCTCTGGATGTTAGAAGAAATTAACAAGAGATTAAAGAAAGTGAAAAATGAGTAACAAAAACTATCGAAATAAAGCTAAACCAGCAATATTTTTCGTTACTAATAGCAAAGGTACAGAAAGGTACAAAAAGGTATAGAAAGTAAAAAGTGCATGCCGCAGTTAAGAACCATATTCTTTGGAGAAGATTTAATGATATTAGTAAACAACTTTGTTCTTTATTTCTGTTTATTGCGAATATCATGTAAAAGAACAATTTAATTGTGTTAGTGTATGTAGACAAAATAAGTACAAATATATATTATGTAGTTAAAGTAAGTAATAAATAATAGTAGTAAAAGTAAAGTCAGTAAAGCAAATAAGTAGTTATTGAAATTATTAAATGGAACTACTTTTACGGATTCTACCATGTTCTATTTAAACTTCGTGAATGCTGCAAAATTTGCGAATTAAAGTTAGTACTATACACGCGAAATATAAAACGAGCTGTGATAGCTCAGTGTCCGGGCACTCGTTTTTAATTTAATATACTCGAGCAACCTGATTTCAATTCACGTGTTCGGTGGTGAAGATAAACATCGTGAGTAATCGGTAGAATTCTTCACACAAGTTATTCTAGAAGAATTTTTTTAGAAATTTTTTGCTAAACACAGGTATGATTTTTTGTGCTTTCGTAATACATTGAATCATTTTGTTCCCTTTATGATTTTCTAAAGTTTATGCCAATAAATAAAATTAATTAAAAAAACTTTTTTTTTAATTCTCGACGTTTCGCACTTTTCGCAGAGTTCATAACCACGGTTCAGACTCGGTAAAGGGTTCGAAATGCCGAGAATTCAAATTAAAATTAAAAAAAAATCTGTAAGTTTGGCTACAGTTCCCTTTTAAGTCACCATTTATTATTATGTGTTCAGGAATCGTATTTACGTTTAGCCTCGTCCAGCTTGGTACTGATGCAAAATGAATTTCGTGTATCAGTTTGTAACAGCTAAAATGATTGCGTCATTCAGCATTTATATACGAATACCAAAATTTTATTCCACTTATTCCTGATAATGCTTTCTCTGTAGCGTCGTGTGCAGAAATCGTCTATATAAAAATTACATTTTATCTTCGCCAGTTGCGCACATGTATCGCATTATTTTCTGTTGAGAGAAGAAAGAATAAGGTCTCAATTTTGTTCCATTTTTCTCTAAACTTAGGAAAATATCTTAGGACTCATAATAACGTTGAAATGTGTTGCTTTTTAGTTTTTAAATTTAAAAATTCTCGAAAGTGTTTCTTAACAATATCCGTCGGGTTCCGTTTTATCCTTTGGGTACGGAACCATAAAAAAGATTAACTTTTCTATTGAGTTTTAATGGTGAGTTATATACTTAAACATACTGTTTTCTATTTAATGCGATTCATACGGATGCACTTGCAATTGTTTATGTTAAATAGCTTTTTGAATTTCTATTCAAAAGAACTAATATAGCATTCCAGTGCTAGAGTATTCAATATTTATCAAGAGAAGCTGTATTAACCAGAATCGAGATAACTCAAAAGTAATTTGGAAATATTTACGAATACAAGTTCGAATTGGAAAATATTGAATGATTTTTGTTCAGAACCTAAATTCAATGCAATCTTTCCTATCAGATCAGTATCAGCATATTATATAAATCCATCAAACCCAAGCATAACAGAAATTGTATTGAGGCTAAATGATTTTATGTTAACACGCGTTTCACTCACAAAGGCCGCCAATGGAGCTCGAAATCCAACCTCTATTTCTGAGTCGCTGCATTTGATATTATAATTTGTGTGTAATAAACTTAATTTTGGATGTCTCATCTTAAGTTATTATTCAGCCGAAACGAAAACGTTGGACACTGAGGCGTCAATTTTAATTTTACTCTGAGGCTTTTCTAATATTCTATATTTATTTAAATTATTCGTTTTATGGATTCTCGTGAAATGTTTTGGAATTAAAATAATTTAAAAAATTATGGCCGCGTTCGTATGGTCTTAACAATGTAGAACACATATATTTTTTGCGATCTACGCCCATCACTAAAATAACACAGCCTCAGCACTTGCGTTAATAAATGAATAAGTTTCATCTTACAAAACAAGTGAAGAGATTCCTTCGAAACTCGTCGACGTTTACGGCAACATTGCACTAATTCGTTTTACCGTTACAAAGACAACCAATTCGACTCGAAGTATAGTGGGACGCGCATCCCGGGAACTCGATTCGCTTTGCTAATAACACATGCACGAGTGTTCGCTCGAAAGAGCGTGCATATAGTGGAAACTGTGAGATGGCGGTAACGTGTGTTAATATCAAAGTTCGTACATCTTGGGGGAATGCAGTCGTGATAGCGCTCCGGGCCCGATCGGAATCACGAAACTCGGGGCAACGCGTTCTGCTAAACGAAACTCAAGCGCGCCCGAACTAATTATCCAAGGGTGAACCGCTCCGTCAATGTACGCCCGGAGTTAAGACGGCGCGCTGTTGTTTTCGATTGACGTGGAACGGGGTTATTATTTCGATTTGCGCGCTCACGAAAGTTGCGCGGGGGGATTGGAAACTCAAGTGGTTACCTCACGAGGTTTTTTTTTGGTATCGGGGGTGAGGGGGGGGATCTTCAAAAGATACCATACATAATCATATGGTTATTTGGGGTTCATACCCACTCAAACCCCCTCGGTGGCCACCTTCTGTTCGTTTGGATCTCCTACGGAACGCACCGGTGTCCCTCAGTACTGCGCGTGAGCACGCCTCGGAGAAGGATAAACCTTCCCCGATTCCTGTGCCATCTTGCAGCATCGAGAGACCACTTCGTGCTGCTGCACGAACCTACCTCACAAGGTCTGCAAATGTCTCGGGTAATCCTTACCCTATAGCCAGATAAATGCATCGTTAGATATACAGATGTAACTTAATTTTTAATATTTCACACGTGAAACTTTGGAAAAATGCGAATATAAAAAAAATAATGCAACTTTAGACACCATGCCTGCAACTGCAATATCCTGTACAAGTTTTGTCTCTGAACAGGCTCAAATTACTTACCTTCATGATTTCTTCAAACTTTGTATTTCACAGAAGCAAATTTTACTACTGCATTTCATTGCAGAAACACAATTGGAATTTAGCTAGCCCAATATTTAAACTACAAGTTATGCTGCACATTATACGTTTGGATAAATACACAAAAACAAAACAACTAACACTACATGAAACACCTAACCTAAAATTGTATAACAACATTCGAAAACGATAAAAGAATTACATCCCAGCGACATGGAATAAAAACAGCTAATTAAATTTTACGAAACAGTCACAGTTTGGGTTCATTAGACATGTATCCGATGTCAGCTCACGTCACGACGTTCAAAACTTAATAGACTTTAAACAATACTGGAGAAGATGCGTTGTCAGAACTTCGCAAGCCCGAGTGTAACAGCCAGCCGGCGAAGTTATGCCCCTATTAAGGTACACAATGTGTCTAATGTTTTAATGGCGCGGCCCCACAATTTCGCAATGATTTATATTAACGCGAGTTGTGTCGGGAAATGTTACGTGAGTCACTCTGATAAACAGGCTCATTGTTAACTCTATGCTTGCAGGTACTCATATAAATTTGTCGAATTTTGAAATTTATTCGAGAAATTTGTAACTCCTTAATTTTTCTCTTACTCTGCTTTTGTACATTTAGTTTCTTAATCTTCCTGGAAGTCACGTTGCTAATTTAAGAAGCACGCAACAGTCTTCGCTGTTTCACGAACGGGCATGTCCGTCCAGGGAAGTACCACAACTTTACAGAAAACCGGCGTGAACTAGAAGTGTTATACTTCTGCGTTTCGTCTGGTGAGTGAGACAACCGGAGGCCACTTTATTAGAAGGTGGAAACGGACCTACAATCTTAAGGGTGTTGAAAATATCCATGGTAACATCAGGTGAACCGTTATCTCGCTTGCCATCTTGGCACAAAAAAAAATGAACGCAAAAGTAATCACAAGTCGTTAAAAAAACGTTACGTTTTTTATTTACGCTAAGGATTCGCTTCAAATCGCTTCCCAGAAATATATACACATAGTACCAAATGTATCCGTAATAAAAGTATCGAAGGACCAGTTTCGCTAATAGTTTTCGTCGAACTTATCGCTAACAATTTCATTATATCGGGCGACGTGATCCGAGGGCGTACGGCACGAGGCCGCGGATCTACGAATTAGTATCCGCGCCTCCAAAGTCCCGCATTCCCGGAGTAAATAAAATGTTGGTATTAGAGGAATGCTCCAAATGTTTCTGAGCCTTTGCGGCAACGGTACGGTGCCCCTCACTTTGATCACGGAATTCTTGGCGACTTCACTCGTCAATACTTCGGAAGGCGAGGCCTTGTTCTTTCAAGTTATGCGGGACACTTTCTGTTTCTTCAACTAAGACGTTGTACTATACAAATCAGAATATGGGCGCATCGATTTTATTAAAGGCTCGAGGCATTGGATTGCATCGTAAAAGCCAACGCCAACGGGCATCGGACTTATTAGCCGGATCTATTAAAAACACCCCTATTACCAACCGTAAAATGAATTCAAAATAATAGGTGCGAAACATTTTATGTCCTTTAATTTAAGTGTAAGCTCTCGTTGTGTATTTCTCCCGTAGTATAAAGCGAACGTTTTTTAAATTGAGCTATAAAACGAAGGCCCAACGCGGCTACCTGGCTAAAGTAGTAGAAGTTTAATAAAGCAACGTGTATTTTTACCATGAATTATTCCGCGAAGCGTGGTTAACATTTTTTTAGAAATTAATGCGGGCGATATATCAGTCTTACGGGAAGTACTTAATAAAATGAAATGTTATAAATTAATAGAAATTATGGTAAGTTGCATTAAGCTAAACTTCAGCGAGTTCAAGGTAGTATCGGTAGAGATGATTACTATAAAACATTTATTAGTTTTATTCCCGCGAGACAAATCGGAAAATTAGTTCTTTAAATTTGTCGTAAAAACTTGTTACATTCGTTACACTTTTTATATCAATTTCATTTTTTTCCTCATATACAATTCTCATATAGAAACAACAGTCGATGCCATAATTTTATTTTTTCTTTGCAATTGAAAATCAATATTTGTAAGAAAATACAAATAAGATATGAGAATACAACAAACTAACGTATTTCTATAACAATACATGTGCTACAACTATCATAAACGCGATTTACTGCGTTCTGAATTATTAAACGGAAAATAAATGCACAAATTTTTCATAGAGTTGGTTATCTCAAAGCTATTGGCCGACATTGTTTATTAATCAGCGAGCGAGCAGGGTTATAGGCGGGAAACGGTGCCAGAAATAGACGAGCAAAGAACACAGATTACACATTCCCTGCACTAGCATTACGCCGAAATCCGCTCGCAGTCGATGCTGCAAAACTAAACCCAACTCATAATTATTGGGAGCATAAAAATAGTGCAAATTGAAACTTTACGGCCGTACCTTATTTCTTCCAATTTTATAAATTACATTATAATACGTGCTTTCTTTTTTTGTAATGGTTGAACAAATAAATTATTACTATGCAACGCAATTGATTATTGATATCTTATCTTCAAAAGCATGTTTGGTCTCGAAACTTTTAAAAGATAACGATTTTAAGATTCCCAATATACTCTCTCGGCTCTTGCTTGCTTGTCTTGTATTCTTTCCTATGCATCGGTATCAATACCGATAAACATTTTAATCTCTTTTGCTTATAATGAGTCGAACATAGTTAAAAGTTTCTGTGATTTGTAGATTGGACTATTACAATTATAGGATATGAACGATAAAACTGAAAGGTTTTATTTCGTGTCGCACCCCGTGAAAGCAAAAATCGTAATTGATACCTACGCAAGTACAGGTGGACATTGTTCGTTGATTGCGAGGAAAAGGTTTGGAATAGCGTATTATTTTCACCTAATTTAAAATCGATATCCCATCAGTGTACGGCACGAGGCCCTATATTATACCCTTTTATGAACTTTATTTTCGTAATTAAATGAAAATTGAGCGTACGTAAATTTAGATACGCTATCTAACAATTTTTAAATGATACACGTACTAGTTTTAAAAAGACGTATCTGCCAAAAGAAAGTTCAAAAGTATATAATAAAGTAGTTAAGTAATGTTTATACATGCATACTATTATACTATACATGAGACGTTAAAACAGTGACTGAGTTTAAAACCAGAAGCATAGCAATCATTTAGTCTTATCACCAGTGGCCAGAGCTATTTCTGCATTTTTTTTATGTGAAAAGTTGCCAAGTGAGCAGACCGTTCACCTGATGTTAAGTGAATACCGCCGACATTTGCTACACCCGAGGGTTGCAGATGCGTTGACAAACTTTTGAAAATTGGGCTCCGTCCACCTCACTCACCAGACGAAACGCGAAAGTATTATACTTCCACTTTACGCCGGTCTTCTGTGAGGTCGTGGTACTTACCCGGACGGGCCTGCCCATTCGTGCAACAGCCGAGGCTGCTGCGTGGCCCTATCACCGTAATGCATGACCCGTTTGAAGAGGGACTCCTAGATATTTAATTAGTTTACTGACTTATTTTCTATATACATTTCGCATATAAACCGATGTGCAAGTGCAAAGCGTCGTAATTCGTATCTGTGATATGGCCACGCTGTATGATATGGACGGACGTACGTGCAACAGTGAACACCATTTTACTGTTGCACGTATGGACAGGTCCGTCGGGGTAAGTACCACGACCTCACAGAAGACCGGCCTAAAGTAGAAGTGTTACACTTTGCGTTTCGTCTGGTGAGTAAGGTAGCTGGGGCCCACTTAATTTGAATGTGGCAACAACGCTTCTGCAACCCTAAGGATGTTGCAAACGTCCATTGGCGGCGGTTCTCATTTAACATCAGGTGAACCGCCAGCTCGTTTGCCACTTTGTGAGATAAAAAAATAAGCGAAAAAAATATAAATAAACAATCACACACTATCGTAATAATGTGCAATCAGGCATCATCAACTGAAGGTTACGTACGTGCCATACTTGTGTTTCGTAGCAGACAATACGAGTACCGCCAATAAACATAAATGTTTTTTAACATAACGACCTTGATGCAGGCACATGTGTGACTACGGGATTTTTCCGGAACACCACGGGGGTATTTTTTCAACGGCGCCGATTTTTTATCCGCTCTCCACTATATTGCGATGAACCACCGATGTTGACTTAATAAAAACGAAAAACTTCCTTCGCAATCCCTTTGTGGTTTAGGCAGATATTGATCTAAACAAAAAGGCGAAGCAGCGATCTCGATTTTAATTGGGCCCTTGATTTGATATCCCATTGTTGTATTGTAAAGATATCAAATTATGTTCGGTATGAGTTCTCTGCTAAAGTTTTCGAAATTGGAGCGGAAAATAATAACGAAAAGTTGTAGAAATTATAATCAATAAAAAGAAGTAGTAGACGGATGACCTGTTTAAATCCCGATACTAAGACTAAGTGCATTTATATTATAATTTTCACAATGTAACGACATATAATTTAATGAAAGCAATCTATTATAGTTCTACTAGTATCACAATCAATAAAATTAGACTTTAAAGGGGTCGCTGATGCATTGCAACCTTGCAAAAGTGGGTTTCGGGTGCCCCCCTACTTACAAAACGTGAAAACTAACTGGCTACTTACGAAACTAACTAAATACTTACGAAACGTTACACTTTCACGTTTACAAAACGTGAAAGTGTAACGCATCACGTCGGTCTTCTGTGAGACCGCGGTACTTCCCCAGACGTTGCCCATTCGTGCAATAGCAGAAGCTGCAGTGAAGCTCAAACTAAGGCAGTATCTACGTTTTTAAATTAATCTATTTGATTTCTTATCCACGTATAGTTATAAATCTATTGGCCGAATGTATGCAACACTTTGCAGCAACACTTGCATCACGGGAATGACGGCTGTTTTTTGCGTTTTGATGTCACTGTACGTACACAATATGATAAAGTTTGTCCCGTAAATAAAAATAATCATATTGACATTTTCGTATTTGACAGCAT